TGTGAATTTAAGAGTTGAGTACTATCAGCCTCAGTTAATAGCACGCATAATATTAAGGAAAATCCAGGTAGCAGTCGACAATATATGAACCTTCATTGACCTTGATGCAGCAATCACGTAGCACATTCAATTCCCTAAAATGAACATCCGCAGCCGACAGAATGACCGTTAAAATTACTGGAACCCTCATCTATACACAAATACGATATCTTGAAGTCATTATGTACTTCTGATCTTCCAAACCTTTTCCTTCGTCAGTTGACTCAGAGAGTATAAGGTGGTCTTAATGTAGGCCTGTGTAAATCCGTTTGACAATTATCCTATGTAGGTCGAACGCCTTACCTCAACCAACCGTCTCCCTCATTAAAAACGTTAGGGCAGAGCTGACAACGACGCGTCTTTTTTACTAAAATCGCTTCGTTCTAATCCTAAGGTATACGTCGCCGGTCACCTAACCATACCGGAGCGAGTTACTTGCACGTGGTGTCATCACCCCTCTCGAGGGCTAGCCGACCTACCTGAAAGAGTTAAAAACGACAGCGTAATAAACAGATTTCTCTTGTAGCCCAAGCCTAAGTTGTGCATGATCACTGAAAACATTATGATCCAGGTAATAACTATAAAGGGCATCTAAGGAGCAAACTACTTATGCTGATCTATACAAAGAGTTATGTTAGTTAATTAGTTAGTTAGTTATGTAAGGTGATACCCGTGTAAGCATTCATGGAGTCAAGGTAGACGAACGAACGTTTTCGATTAATCCCTCATCAGGCAAATACAATTACATGAGGAGAGGGTAGAGTTAACGAAATTTTAAGCAGAGTTTAAGTAGAGTCGGAAAATATGACATTAGAATCTTCATGAATACGGCAGATAAACCTTTGGCATCTGTATTTAATACGATGTAGGTTAATTGGAAGAAGGAAGATCTATATAAATGCAGCCCAGAAAAATGTACCTATATTATTGGAGTCCAACGTTTCACGTTAAGGGTCACGTTTAAAATTTGTATAATCATCGGAACCGGTAAAATTATTTTCCTTTTCACCTAGATGGCAGGTATTATGCTGATCTGTTATTGGTTCACCCCAGTGTATGCTGCCTTGTTTTGACGTAACACAAACCAACTAACGAGCGGTGGTCAGTATGATGATTTTAAATAATCAAAAGCAGAGAACTGTTTGGTTTTCAAATTAGGCTAGTGTATGTTCTTAGATAAACGTATTAAAGGTAAAATGATAATCCGAAATTCTGGACGAAAGCTGAACCTACGTTGATTGAATAAACTTGATTATACCGTTTGGCAGTGATTTAATAGTCTGTAGTATAACCTTATATAAATTTCTGTCAGCAGCAGTTTATTGTTTTAGAACGGTGAGATAAGGGAACTTGAACCTCAATAATAGATAGGGCTTAATAAAATTCCCGAAAGAGCAAACATTATTGAGTCAGAAACCTGGATCAAACACTAACTTTAAACATAAATTTAAGTGTAATCACAACCGTAATCTTAACTGCTTTCTTGCCCTCAAATCTTAAACTGTCTTAATAACTACATCAACCGGAACGCTTACCTTAATAGCAATAAACATTTCCCTATGAAGTGACTGCAAAACCATGGAATGGGAGACTCGTAACCCCATGTCTTTTTATTTAAACTCCAACGACGATCCTTTTAAAATCGCAATGTAGTATTTTTATGCTAATTTATTACGAAACTCTTATGTTTATCAGTTTTTTAATGTAATAATCTGTGTTGGGCTTTTTATGCTGAACATACGAGCATTTAAAGTTTTGGAAAAATTAGATTTTAGTACGGACTATGATAAGAGGTCAAAACTTGGATTTCGAGCTACGTTCCTTTCTCGTTTATTGTCATCTTTTAACTAAGCGTGTAGTAAAGAACGTCAAAAACTTCGTTAAGTCAACTTAGTTACGTTTAAAACATAAGTGACAATGTTGCATTTGACAGTGGCTCTGTCAAAGCTTATCAACTGCTTTTCTCGGGTGATGCTGCAAGCGAAATAATAAGGCAACGTCTGAGGATTGTGATCACAAGCGCTTTCTCCTCGGCGAACTTTCGCGTGTTCATCACGAAATCTCCCCTCCTATGATAGGTAGGCAAAGACCGACTCCCGTTGAAGGCCACATTTAAATGCATCTACTCTTTCACATGCTCCTGCGGAGCACAACACATTGGCCGAAAAACGGGGCGCTTAGGAAAGAGAGTACGTGACTACATACTAGCCTGATTAGATAGAGGCGAAACTAAATCGATATCCAGTTCTGTTCTTGCAAATCTTGTCGATACGAATCACCGAATCGATACTAATAAAGCCTTTCAGGTTGTCCACCGGATACACGCCAACAGCCGAGGCACTAGCTACACGGCTAGCGAATCCAGTGCTGCGTTGTCAGAAGACGCAAACACAAGCCCTGTCCCTTCCGTGGCCGACGCCGACGCCAGGAAGCGATCGCATATCGCCATGACCCCCTAGTTACAGTCGTTCGTTTAGGCCATGTAACAGTAATTATCACTCCACAGACCCGACCCATGACCAACGCGCACAATCTATCCCACTTTTCATCCCCTCCCACTCCCCCAGCACAAGCACCTCTGCATCCCGACCTCGCCATGCGGGCGATGAGTTATAAGTAAATGACCCTTATTAAGCTTATCCAGGTGTACGATGTTAATTTTACCTGCGATTTTACTGGCCCAATGATTAATTGCTTAAAACATATGTTTACCGAATAAAGTTTCCAGAATCTAGTGAGCATGGAGCCACTGTTCACTCTTCAGATGTGTACGTGTGTTCAAAGGAGGACGGCTGTTCGATTGTGTTCATATGCTGGATTTGTCAGCATGATTTCAAGGTAGATAAATGTAATTGCGAATTCATTTTTATGTTCGAACTGCAAATTGTGTAACTAATTGCTTTCTGAAGTAAGAAATCCATTTTGGCATTTCAATCAATTCCGTTTTCAGTGGCATACGGGAAGCGGTAGCTCCTCGTAATAGATGTAGCACTTCGTCAAATTTCACAACATGGCTCTACTTTAAGAACATACATCTAAGGCTTAAATGGATGTCAGTCTTATCCTAAGCCCAAAACGTAATCCTAAACTCCCAATAGTTTTTCGCACAATTACCCCTATAAAGGGATTCTTATCCGTGTTTGTTACCGCTTTTCCAGAACCGCAAAACAAAATACATAATATTCATTATTTGATTGACCCAATTATGAAACATTCGCGGTTTCGGTGAAAGTCTAACTTACACGACAGGGGAAACTCTTCCGCAGCCAAGACTATACCATTGAACTACCAGTTTCACCGTGCGCCGGGAATTTAATCAGGCTTGTGTCAATTTACTTGCCCAGCTTGACTGCACGTACTAACGCAGTATTGCCTGCCTAGCAGGATTTCCTCAGTAAAAATCTAGGATCAATCAGACTGACTAATAGGCTAACCTTGGTTGTTAGAGGTTTGATAGATTTCATTAATTCGATTAACCCTAGGAAGATGCTCCTATTTTATCTTTCATGAAAAACCAACACACGCTTTTACCAAATTTAGTTTCTCAGGCCTAAATTCACCTCATACGAAACTTGTCAGCCTATTAAATAATAAATTTGTAAAAGGTGGGGGCTTTTCGATCCTTGGCATAATTAGATTATTGTCCTGAGCTATCAATTACTTTCAGGAGTTCGTTGTCAGACGTAAGAACAGTAATAAAATGGGAACAATTACATGGGATGGACGCCTATCGACTGTCATTGAGGCACGTCTGGACGTGACTGCATGTGACTGTGCAGGGCTGTTTACGCCAGGGCCAAATATAAACATAGATTGATTGCGTTCCCATTCGTGGACCAAGCAGCCGTCAAGGTACTCGCCCAAGCCGAAAACAAGACAAGTTAAGAATTGATTGAAGCCTGGCCTACTGATAGTAATTCCATTAATCGATGTATCTATTTGGCCCTGGCGTACAGAGCCTTGCGCAGTTACGTCCAGGCGGGCGTTTACATGTAGGGTCTCAATGTAGAGTTTCCAATCTAGAATCGCCCCTTTTTGTTGCTCTTTCTACTTCTGACAATTGATTCTTGTAAGAGATTGAAAGCTCACGACACGGAACCAAGTATTCCGGCGCCTTTGCTTTACCCATGCAAACCCCTTGAACGCGACCTTGCTTATTTATTCATAAATGATAAAGTAGTCAAGCTCGATTTCGCACCGAAAGTGTTTTAAAGAAGTGCAATTATATAGCATGCGTGGAAAGCGCGAGGTAAACCTACATTTATGTAATTAGGGAAGTAAAATACACCTTAATTAAATGGATATGAAGGAACCTTGCCAAATGGAAAACCAAAAAATAAACATCACTTTGGAAGTATGCTTCATTTGATAAATATTTCACTTGGAATAAAACGAGTAGTGAAAACATTCTTGTGCCAGCAAACCCATTTCTACATTGGACGATGAATTACAGATCCTGACAGGTTTTATGCATACAGGCAGTTATCAGAGTTTGGCTTGTGATCTAGCGTCACTTTTTCCCTTGTTACAGGTCAAGGTAAAGCGCTTGAACGTGAGAGTTATTTTTTGTTAACATGTGTTAATTTGCTTTTACTGTTGGCCATCAAAATCACCTGTTCGAAAAGTTGAAGCCATGAGTAACTCGCACATGAATCTCCTTCTTACGATCACTATGCCGAGGCTCATACATTGTTTAGTTAAATATAATCGAAAGTCCTCTAGAGGATTTAAATGCTTTAAAGCAGGAACAGCAACCGACAGAGATAGAAGCTGTATGTGCTTGTCTTCAACGGAACATCTTTTTTATATAAAAAAGACTCCATATTAAGCTGCCGTAACATTATTGGCTTCATGCGACGTCTCTGTGTATCCTGCAAAGCTCTAGTTTTCCAGTAATTTCAAAAGAACACAAAAGAAAAAATGGGTGAATTTTATATGTTACACAATTTTCCGGCAAAAAATCAACGCCTTTGTCTTCGCAAAAAGCATGTGCGCAATTTACAAAAATTTCGAATGTCTTCTCGGAAGTTCGGGTTCATGAAACAGTAGATGATAGGATTAACAGCATTATTTACATAATAGAGGTAAAATATTGGGAGAAACAGAGTGATGATTTCTGATGCCATAAGCATTGCTGGAATAAAAGTGAGGATATAGACGATCGCGACCACAAACAGCATGCCCGCCATCTTCATGTTTTGAAACAGTGAAGTGTCCTTAAAGGACTTTATAGAGAGGCGATGGCTATGCAGCCTCGTTGCAGAAGATCTATGGTCGGCACGCCGGAACCCTTGTTTGTGGCGAACAATAGCAGGTTGCAAAGCTATCTGATTGCCGTCCTGTTGGGATATAGAGGAGTTTGCTGGCAATCGTTCCACCACTTGATGGGATGGTTTGTCTTCCTGCTGCTGGTTGAATCTTACAGAGCAATTGCGATGCAATCGTTCTAGAGGCAAGGGAGACAATGTGTTGACTTTAGCCGGACTGTACCGCCATATTTCACCGCCTGAATGTGCACCTTCATTGGACTTAGTTTCTTCTGTCGCGTTCGGAGTCATATTTGCCTCTTCCGAAATAGGAGAATTCGCACCTTCAGTTACTATAGCACTGTTAGCGAAAACGTCATCATCTTTTGAGGCACACCGCTCCGTGTCATGGCCTAATTTGTCTTTATCGGATACGGCTACAGTATCCTCTCCTCCTACACTGTTCGCAAAAAAGTTCTTTCCCCTATTCAAAGATAGTTTTGTTTCCTCTGGACTGCCGGGCACAGTGGATGTGGCATAACTTGAATGTCGCTTCCGATTGGAAAACCGCCTGCCAGTCAGCTTAGCATGCTTCTTCTGCATCTGTGTAATTTTAAAGAAAAACGATTTCAAAATTGTGTGCAGCGTTAAATATGAAATAATGTTTTATTATGAAGACACCCAAATAATTTAGAATACGTATTTTATTTACGTTCAATACCAAAATGAAAACGTTTCACCAAAAACTACAAATTTCAATGGATATTTTTCGGAACACACTGCGATTGGACTAGATTTAACATATGATGAATTTGAAATACATTCGGTGATTAAACCTAAAGTGTTTACCAGAAAAGTAACTTATGTATTGCCAACCAATGACAACTTTGTAAAAAGGATCCACACCGCGTTTTTTCTTCTAAAGTCTCAATATTAAGCCACCAATTGCAAAAGGTTGTTTTACTAGAATGTACAGCTCATGATCCTGTTATATATTTTATAAGACACAAAATTCGTTTGCTAGAGTTATTTAACGTAATTTTTAAGTTTTCAGACAAAAAGCAAACTACATATACTCATATGGATTCCCAGGCAAATGTTCTTTTTAAATTATTAAACATAAAATTACTTGTAGAATATCACTAGGTTAAACTGATTATTAAAACAAAACCGAAAAGAAAATAATTTATCCATCTCTTTACAACACATACATTATTAGTGTTAAAAAACAAGGCTTACGGACACACTATATATGATGAGTATACGGGCAACTGATCTTGGGTTTACGACACAAATGCTTTTTATCGATAACCCTGAGCCGGGTTTCCAATATTGAAAACGTGTTTTGAGTCGGATAGAAGAACGATTTGTTGGCCTTTTTAAAATGGTCTTTTTTGATCGTTAATAAAAATCAAATCTGATTATGGAATAAATGTTTTTCGAATAAGCATTTTCTGTAACCAAATGATATCGTGCGCATATAAACGTTGAGTCAGTTGAGTGAATTACATTCAGGGGATATAAATAGCTCGGCACGAAGAATATATGTAGTTTGTGACTCTTAACAAGGAACTTTTGGAGTGGAAATAAGGACTGATTATCTAGCTAGTAAACAAATGAAGTGAAGCATTTGAAGTCTTAGCTAAATTTTGCAATTGCCAGCGCAAAGGCTCTTCTTTTCCGCTGGGAGAGGATGTCGAATATTTTATCCGTACAATTGTGCCCATACTCTTTGCCACTAAAAAGCAGGTTTATCAAATGAATTTTTAGGCGGCCAAACTATTTCACAAAATGTACTTTGATAAAAATTAATCGTACTACGTAAAGCCACGATAAATATATATCTTAAACGAACTTAAAAAACAGAAGGGAATTTTCAGGGTCTCGTGCATAAAATTAGTCTCAGAAAGAGAGTTATGAATGTTCGAATTTGGAGTATTTAGAAGGAGCAGACTATTCCTTAAAAAAGCCTAATAAAGTAATGGAACGAAAACAAACAGCACAAGGCCAAATTCCCGTCCGTAAAGTGTATTTAATAAGAGTCTTAGGACAATTGGTGTAGTGGCGGAGCAGTGGTGTAGCACTAAACTAAGATTACTCTGTACCGATTACCCCAAAGGTCTCAATGTATGCGGGGCTACTTTCACATGACAGTCGTAAAACTGCATTAAAAATAAAGGATAGTTGACACAATACTATCCAATACTGGTAGCCTTATTAACCCGGCCTATATTATGGCCCAAAATTTAAAAACCAATAAAATGTTTAACGAATCAAAAGACATAATGTAAATTAAAGCGTATAATAAAGACTGATTAGACAAAGTTAAAAGCATTTTAAAACAGGCTGAAGTATATTTAGTCAATAAGGTCAATTTTAATATCTTAGAGAGAGAGAAAAGTCATTATCTAGTTTTGCTTATGCCATCAGCTGGCATAACTGATTAAGCGAATGATAAAATGAGGACTTTTAATTTAGAAAAAAATAAGTTCCTAGCAGTTATGTTTTCCTTCGCGACATTTTAACTTTTTATGCACTTAATTAATTATGAAATTCAAAATTTTTTGCGCAGCTTTTATCACAAAATCGAGAGAAAAACATCAAACTGTTTGTAATGGGAGACATTGAGAATCAGCGAGGATAAAGGCGGAGAAGTCTGTCATTGCTGCAGTGACAGACAGGACTGAAGTTGCTTGACCGTCAGTGTTTTAAAAGAATAATCCTGCTTATGAAATAAAATGTATAGTCTGTAAAATAGACTTAACTTTGACAACAAGATGGTAAATTGAAAAAGTTATCCAGAAAAATGAAATTTCTATAAAAAGATAGCTGCATCAATGCACGATTGTACAGTTACATAAGGCGTATAGCCCTTCTCAGCCAAACTTAATTTCTGTTTGGCACAGCGTTAACCGTGTTATGTGTATTGAGTGTCTCACTGAATGTTTGACAGCCAAATAATTCTCACACACCTAACGTATTTGCGCACTGCCCACTGTAGGCTTTATTAGAAAATAGTTCTATTTTGGTTATTCTTATGGAAATGGAGCGTATAAACTATAAAATGTTCTACTACCTTCCGAATCCATTGACCTCGCAGTTTATTTATTAATAATTCAATGACTATTTACTGGACTCTCAAAAATCCTCCGTCTTTTGCGGTAATTCCAGCAGTGGTTGGAATGCGTCACAGGTATCGATGGAAGCAGTAACCCCACTTTTTATAATCAACTTAGCCGCCATTTATTTGAATTATACTTCATAACTGTGGAAAATAATGAATCCAGCATAGACGAATATCTTGTTAAGGAGCTGGTAAGAAAAACGAAAACAATTCCATGCATCTCAAAAAATGCATGACTACAGTCAACCGTAGAAATAACTCGTCCCTTAGTTTAAGATTATCAACGTTACGAAGACATATATTTTCTTACTTGCACCTTATGTCAAATTTAAATCTGCTGTCTTGTTTCCCTTGAGAACGGAAAAATTTTGCATAAAACCGGCTGAAAACCATCTGAACGACTATACATAAGAATTATTTGCTGGCTATTAAGAGTGAAGTGTTTATGTCAAAGGAGGTCAAATCTGGCCACTCACACAGGATTTAGCCTCAAAATTCGCAAGCTTACTTTTTGGTAAAGGTGTTTTAGGACTGCTAATGAACACTTTTCGTGTGAGTGTGGCTCACTACCTGCGGAAATCGGATATCAACCCAGGCATTAGTCGCGAATCCTTAAATCATAAAAAATAACCAGGCTATGCAGAAGGGCAAATTTCGATGAAAAGGTGCATAGGGTCATTTTTGCCTGAAATGCGAGCGTCCGCCATTTATGGCGGGGCCATCAAATGCCAATTCAATTAACTGCCAGGCAGATACCTCCTGCCATAAAATGGCTTATAAGAGAGAAATGGCAATTACAGTGTTCACTGTCGTTGGCAGTAATGCCATTCTACCTGTAATACACTAGTCGCTGACCGAATAATGGTGTGACTCGAGGCTGCGGACAAAGTAACTACGCCCTCTACCATTGTTAATTTAGCCCATTGCAGGTGACAGTAATGGCTAGTGGTTACGGTGTGTGACTACTGACTAATGGGTTGCGGGGTTGAGCCGCTGGAAATGCGAAACATAGGGTTGGTTAGAGTTGCCTGATAACATCCTATAGACTCCAAGTTGTAATTTCAGCTTCTTTAGCCTTTGTCGGCAATTTTATCGCCTCCTGCTGAATGGGCTACGATCGATTAATGGCGCCGGTTTTAACAAGATTCGTAGAAAGACCGGTCATTAAAGATCAGACACTCACATCACGCGATTAGCATCCGTTCAGACCCTGGTAACGGGAATCCACCCTAGATTTTAATTACCCTCTGTGTATCTGCTGTCTTATCATATACCCAAGGCATCTTTGCGACTCTAGGAATAATCATGCCACACCCTATGAAGCTGTGCAATACACCGATAAGGTCTGTAATTTTGAAAGTCATTTAATGTTTCTTTCATTTGATGTAGGAAATAACTATTGGTGTCGTATCGTAGGCCACGTCGTTTGACACATGGAACGACGTTCTGTTTATAGTGAGAAGTATGCTCTACTTAGATAGGAAACGATAAGTCAGACTTTAGATTTTTACGTAAAGTACAGTATGTTCTTATTTCATGTAAAATTTACGAAAGATTGATTATCACTCGCAAATCGGCATTAAGTAGTTTTGTTATACTGATTACCGTACAGCCTAATCGCACGTCACTAAATTAACATCAGGAGCTTGGCTTTTAATAAACTTTTTACATCGCGTTTACAAGAAGTGCATCGTGAAAAAAAACTATTTAAATAGTATGCATGTAATTCATTGATTTTCGTTACCCTTATAAATTCAAATACATTCTACAACAAATGTGTTTCACAATATACCTTCTTGTACTCGTTCGATAGCAAAACATAAAACATCTCAGAATTAAAAATATTTTTAAAACATAAATACAACATTCCTTTAATTATTAAATTTGAATGTGTAATTTTCTAGCAAAAGTGTAAACGAAAGACTTTTTTAGGAATGTTTTCTATAAAATTCTTCTTCATTTATAAGGGCGGTGAACATCATTTATCTAAATGCACACTACTTAAGTAGCCATTTCTTTTACAGAATACACTTTTTGTGAAAGATCTGGAAGAAGCTCGTTAAAAGTTTGTCACCTGACGTCAATTAAGTGGTTTGAGATCAAAGTGCGTGGTGGTCATTATAAATGCCGTTCTGCGAGTGATTATCAAGCCTTTGTAAGTTTGTGCATTATGCATGAAATTCCGACCGTACTGTATGTTATCCTATGTCATCGATAAACTATGCCTTATTTTAATTGATTTACATTTGTAAATGACTGTCCTACTGATGAAATTAATGGTGACTTTTAGGACAGAAAGTGAATTCGAGTTTTTTTTGTTCTCATTACTAACACTCACTATTTAAAATTACCGATGCATACGACGATATACAAGTATAAATGAGCCATAGCGTTTTTAGAAAAAGGATTAGCATTTCCCTCATGTCAGAAATATTTCAGTTCTCCTTGACTTCCGATTAAGGGTCACTTTGTTCCTAGT